AACTCGGTGATAAATGGGATGAATTTAATATGAGGCAAACGGTGATCAGATCATGTTTGGAGAAGTAGTCGGTTTATAATTTTCTCTATAATACCGAGCGAACGAATGACAGAAGAAGCGTTACGTAGTTAACACATACGTAGGGAAATAACCAAAGAACACAACAATGTAGAGAGCAGGACCATGAGGTTTTGAGGGAATGATTAAAATTCAAAATCATAACGAGAAAAGCATCATTACCATATATAGCGAACAGGAAGAAACTGTCAGCAGACAATTCAATTTCATATCGTATGGTCTTGAAAGTAATTTAAGTGGGCATTGAACAGTTGGGGTGTATTTTCTAGAAATCCAGTTAGGTCATCAATATACAGAAATGCTCTTATGTAGGAACGATCAGATTTCATTTGTAAAGCTATCCATCTCAAGCTAGAAAATAGACAGCTGAAGGATTCCTGATATAACGATCTCAATGTTAAACAACGAAACAGAATTTGGTGATATAATGACTTATGGTGACACTAGGATCTCGTGAAGAGATTTGAATTGTTAGATGTGTTTGACGTAAGTTATTGGTATGCTTATTGGGAACATGTCATTAGTTGAGGAAACATATGTTGATATGTTGGGCAATTTCGATGATCCATAAGAAGGTTTCCTTTCTGGAACAACTAGTCATAACCTCTCAATACTATTTTGAAGGATTTCCGTATAATTCGTTCAGTTGCACATTTATATATATCGGTTTTCCAAATCCCTTACGCGAGGTAACATGCTTTCGTCACTGATAGCGCACGAATAAAACACTTACGGTAACGCTGTCATCACTTTCTCTGAAGAATGTTGAAATAATCGAATCACGTATTCTTCCACTAACGCAGATTAATAGCAACTTTAAAATTCGCTTCCAAACATAAAAAAGGTTTATTGAACTGACGTTCAATAGGGACATTAAAATGAATCATTGCCGCTTTTAAATCTAATTTGATTTTACCTTATATACATAATTGTACTAAAATCAAACTCTCATACAATAAAAGACAATAAACGATTTCCCTCATGTCGTTACTATCGACCTGCTTTCCCAAGAGTTGATACAAAGTATGAATGATATCCATTTCTGCATTGGTTGGAACAGTTTTACGGCATTCTGGGGAGCCGCTGTAACAAGGTAGTGTTAAGTTCCTGTATTTATCACCGGTAATCGTAAGATGAACGATTCTTAAACCGATTATATGATCACTCGTAATATCCATCCCATCGATAATCGTGTTAAAACAAAGAGCACACCGACATGTCAACACAAAATCTTAATTCCAAATCAAATTCGATGAAACGAGGAAAAAAAAAAACGATTGTAATCCAAATGAATGATTTTAAAAGCTATGTGTGTTTAAGCTTAATTAAAACGCACTTATCGCAGTCAGTTTTAAGGTACATCTGTGCCTTTGTGAAAATTTAATAATTTCATGAAAGTTATAACTAACATATTGACATTCTGTGTCGAACATCATACTACGAATAAGACATTATTTCAATTAACTAGTGTGTCTTGTATATAATCTTTAATATATATTGGAAAGTATATGACTTTATGCAGATAGTTGTTGCCGGAAAAGACACACACGTATGATGCAAGAATATTTAAAATATTTACAGCCTAAATCTAATGACGATATACAAAGCTCAGTCATACGTTGTTGTTTTCGTAACATAGGAGACATGTTCACCAATGTTTACGAATGGGAAATTTCATAATAACATTCAACATTCTACAATTTGTATGTTTCTAAATTCCAAATGATGAGATAAAATATATTAATATCCATTGCATCTGTATGTATTGTTTGTTCTATACTTGTATTATATATTGCAGAGAGAGAACCGCAGATAGCAAACCTTTATTAATTTTATTCGGATGGTATTTGCTAATTATAAATAAAAAGTCAGGATTATGAAAAAACGATTTAAAATTGACAATGCTTGAATACAATTTTACAAAACGCAACGATTTTGAGATTATTTTTACGTTAAGTGACATGAATGTGGTTGTCGTCTGCAGCATAGCTGTTAAAGTCGTGACTGGCTCCATCATTATTGAATGATTCCTGTTAAAGACGATTAAGATCTAAATATCAGTTGAATTTCTCATTAATTCGACGTTCAAAACTCAGCAACATAGCATCAACGATTGTCTCCGTGAACATCAGGCTGGAGGTTGTTATGAATCGTAAAAGGATCGTGCAACTGTCGTCCTGCATACTTCAGTGAAAATGTGTAAGAGACTTTTATATCAATTGAAAATAAATAGTATGTGTCATTATATTCTTATCTCAATGATTATGTAGCGACGGATTTCAAAAGTTCTAAATGGTAAAATAATTTTAACATTCATTTATCGATTATATAACAATGTATACAATTGTTTTTTCTCGCATTCATTAGAATATGAACGTATATGGATAAGAAACCTAATTCATAAATCAAACAAAAATAGATTCAATCTTTAAGTAAGCATTAATATAATGACGTTAAATCTATGTAAAGTTAAAACGTACATGTGTAATGTCTATATATCAGTAACAGAACCGCCTAATCCTATACAGATCACCAGCTATCGTGACATCCCGAACTATAGTGATGATGTATAACACAGGAACACAGAAACTCTAAATATTCTTATTTGAAAGGATGTTTGATAAGGTAAACATCGATTGATAAAGAGTGAAAACATAAACATATTTTTAAATGAATTATTTCCAAATTATTAAATGTAACGCTAAACAATATAAACAGTCTTCCTGGAATGGATGCTATACAGAGTAAACAGACTGTCAGTTTCCAGCTGTTAATCATATGATATCAGTGCTAAGTATGTCTCCAGTGGTCAAAAATGTGATACTCGCTGTGGATTTCTTAATTGTTGAATTTCAATCATAAAAGACAATAGTTCACACCGTTAATCTAATGATACAAAAGAAAATTTAAAGCATCTTCACAACGTAATTTGATTATTTTACCACAATATTGATAGTTCTAATATTTGGTAACTGGTTTGAAATAAGTTTAATGCTAACAAGGGTTGATTTAAGAAAGAAACAACCTAACTGTCCAATGACATATGATTTCTTTCAGCCTCGTTTATACTTCGTAACAGCCATAGTGACGGTAAATGTAGGGACCAGGCTGAATGGTTTTATGTATACAACAGGTATGGGTATGCTTGTATTATTTCAGTGGATGATTATGCTAAAAATAAATCTTTCAGATAAAACTTTGCACGCGAACAGTAATTCTACTCCTATTTTTGTCGTAACCAGTCAACCAAAGACACTGTGTTTTCTATATTAACTACCACATGTATTATGGTACACTGACAATATAAGGTTCAACTTTATACCTATACAAATATAGTTATGTTTAGTTGAAAAGTTCAACATTATTCCGGCGAACTTGTCGAGGTAACAAACACCGGCCGGTATCAAATGACGCAACGTAGCACTTGTCATACGAATATTACTATGAGAAGTGACGTCTTTTCTACAATTCAGATATAGAGAACTGGGATCCCTTCCTGTCATGATATAACCCCTGTCGATACATTCACACACGGTACACTTAAATCGTTCTACATTCCGACCCAGTTAATGCATACATAACTGTCCCAAATACCTAACTTGATCTAAAACACGTGACAGAGTGGAACCATCGAAGGGTTTATATGATGACAAGGAAATGTAAACAAATTTAATGGAAACTTTTCAGAACACGTTTCATACAGACAAACGAGATCACGTGTTCATACTTACACTGGTTTAGTAGTTCTAACAATGTACCCCACCTTTTAATACATATCGGCCTTTTAAACAAGCAATTGTATTTCAAACAATAATTATATTCCTGTACCACTTCTGGTTTTGTTACTGAACTTGATCCGTTTGTGAAGTCGTTCCAGTGACCATTTAAACTAAATGTACTGAGCTCAAACATTTATATGACACTTCACATCGTTAGAAATCCATGGGTATCGGTCTTTCTAGGTCAGATTTGGCGTTTTAACTCAACTCCCCAAGTATGTGGTCAGTGCCAGCGAAAACAAGGATTAAAAATCAGACCACGACCTCTGCTATATGTAAATGCGGCGACCTTGCATGCCTTAAATATGTCTCCCCAATTGTTCCCTCTAAATGACACACGCCTTCAGTTATCTGAACCACCAGCGGCCAAACGCTGACCTAGATGCGGGGCAGATGTAAATCAGATCGGGGATCAAAAGACATCCCCCTCACCGAGCTCCAACAAATATTGATTTTTTTTTTTTGCGCGTGTTGAATGGTCGGTGCATAATTAGTGCCGGACAAAGCATCCCTATGACTCTTCATGCATGCGCCTATTTACAGGGTATCACCCAGGTCTTCTCGGGGTGTGTCATCTTTAAGTGAAGTTACTTGTTAGAAAAGTCCATAAACTACCTTACATGTGTTTTTCATTATGAAAACCAAAGAGACTGTTTTAAACATTGACTTTTTAGTTTTCATTCTAAATGTTACCAAGGAAATCAATCCGGATTTTAACGATCAACAATAAAAATATATTTTTATTGAGAATGATATTCTATTCATAGCCGAAATTATAACAATTGCCCACAAAAAATTTAAACAAGCGTAACTTAATGTTTCTTTCTTTGTAAATCTTGTATATGTTGACACGAAAACTGGTGTTTGAGCTTGATATAGTCTTAGATTGCATACAAATATATACAAACAAATGCATTCTAGTGTTGCACATTTCTCTGTATGTTCCCATCCGTGACAATGTAAGAGTAAGCGTATAATATTTTGATAAATATTTCACTTTTTGTATAGTCTTTAAATGCTATACAGTAGCATACTTAACTTGTAGTGATTTAAATAGACTGACAGACTTGTTCAAGTGACCTTTTCTGTCAACACACAGCGAACTGATGAGTCAAACACAAAATTTATCAAAAAGTTACTTACCCCCATAAAAACAGCAGACGATCACTAGAGCACACAGAATGTAATGTTTCTCCATGTCTGTTACAGAATTTGGAGGGTGTCCCGATGTAAGAATCACACGACTATGATAGACACCGCGGAACACACTGGCTTACTCTCGCGCAAGACAGGTCTGATAAGCGCTCTGTACACCACAAAGCTAGGTCTGCCTGTCCTACAGTGGCCACCGACATTCTTATTCAATACATCACAAACAAGTAACTGTTGGGTATTCGGAAGTCAATTATTATAGTTGGACTGAGATATAATAATTTGTTGTGTTTTAAAATATATATGTCTATATAGATAAACTTATATAACATTACACATATTTACATAAAATCTACATATGAAAATGTGAAACTGCGTTTTTAATAGAAATGACGTTGTTTTGCTTGTGAGGCAGAAGTGAGGTTTTTGTTCCCTCAATGACATAACTATATAACCAATAAGAACGAAGTACCTCAATATGATTTCATAACTTCCACGCAAAATTGGAAATAAATCCAAACAGTCCTTACTACCACTGGTCAATTGCTGTTACGTCGAATATATCAATGTGCCAACCTTTTTGTCCTCAATAATAAATCACATTGACGATTACCGCGCTATTTTATAAAAATTCATATTTCAGAATGTTGACCTATCGCTGTCACGATTAATAGCTACGCATATTGTGGCGTTTTGCTTACAGCTGAATACCTTTCAAATGGCGTTTATGAGTATTGAAGTAAAAAGTATGTTTGTGTTTGTTTTAGCAGTCCTTTTGTTAATGATAGAGCCCGCCAGCTGGTCCAGCTCTGTCTCTCAACACTCTCACGTGGTCTGCGTCTCCCGTGAGTCCCTACATACAATTTGTAAGATACGGCTCATTAACAGTCTGAGAAATAGTATTGAAAGTTCCACATCGTATCGGAAACATTTCACGTTCTCTATGATAATGAGTAATATTTTAAATCAATCAGGAATTCGCTCCATAGTCAGCAGCCATAACACCAAGACCCCATGTAGAAACTACAACGAGGGTGTGGCGCCATCTGTAGCTATACAGTTTGCGGTAATCGTCAACGGCAGTTATAGCTTTATACTTTGGATATTGTTGGGTTGGTACAAATAGCATATCGTGTATGACCCAGTTCTGGATCTAATTCTATAAATGGGAATATTTCTTTCTTCATCAGGCGCTTGAACGAGCAACGAATAATTTAGGGATACGCTGCGTGTAACTTGTTTACAATTTCTTCTAATATTTCGCTCAACAATTCAATAATTGGAAACGAACTTATGCAAACCATTTGTCTTCAACAATTTATTGCGGAAGAAAGAGCAGTTGTACATGCTCAGAAGATTGGTACCTGGATAGCGTTATAGGAACCCTACAATTGTACAGAAAATCCAATTGTTCTTTTAGTGTCATGGCTGGTAAGTGCAGCTCCTCACTTCGGTTACATATTCCTACGAGCATGCACACTTATTAGGTTATCAGAATTTTTTTATTTGAGATGTTGAAACTGTAAGTGGTGTATTTGTCGAGTTCGCCATACATTGGAGACCATAAGTCACGCTGTATAATGGAGGCCATCAGTCGCACCGTACACCGGAGGCCATAAGTCAGCCGACTCAGGCAAGACCGTTCCCGTATCGCCCAAAACACTGACAAACCGACTTGTAACGAATGATGAGGTTTTTTTGACGCATGATTCACTGAGCAAATCCATCTTGGATCCGAAATAAGAATGACAGAATATATTTGATCACATGTTACACAATGTGTTTGATCATTCACACCTTTGTTGACACTCCCAGACGTCTATTGAGGAGACCTGTCTTGACTCGAGAATTTTTCCTTATTACATTGTCAAGTAAAAGATTTTTCAGGAACTATTTATCGACCAATACATGACAACATTAACAGAAACTATTTATCAACCAAAACATGACCTTATTACAACAATAACAAAACTATTTATCAACCAATACATGACCTTATTACAACAATAACAAAACTATTTATCAACCAATACATGACCTTATTACAACAATAACAAAACTATTTATCAACCAATACATGACCTTATTACAACAATAACAAAACTATTCATCAACCAATACATGACCTTATTACAACAATAACAAAACTATTTATCAACCAATACATGACCTTATTACAACAATAACAAAACTATTTATCAACCAATACATGACCTTATTACAACAATAACAAAACTATTTATCAACCAATACATGACCTTATTACAACAATAACAAACCTATTTATCAACCAATACATGACCTTATTACAGCAATAACAAAACTATTTATCAACCAAAACATGACCTTATTACAACAATAACAAAACTATTTATCAACCAATACATGACCTTATACAACAATAACAAAACTATTTATCAACCAATACATGACCTTATTACAACAATAACAAAACTATTTATCAACCAATACATGACCTTATTACAACAATAACAAAACTATTTATCAACCAATACATGACCTTATTACAACAATAACAAAACTATTTATCAACCAATACATGACCTTATTACAACAATAACAAACCTATTTATCAACCAATACATGACCTTATTACAGCAATAACAAAACTATTTATCAACCAAAACATGACCTTATTACAACAATAACAAAACTATTTATCAACCAATACATGACCTTATTACAACAATAACAAAACTATTTATCAACCAATACATGACCTTATTACAACAATAACAAAACTATTTATCAACCAATACATGACCTTATTACAACAATAACAAAACTATTTATCAACCAATACATGACCTTATTACAACAATAACAAAACTATTTATCAACCAATACATGACCTTATTACAACAATAACAAAACTATTTATCAACCAATACATGACCTTATTACAACAATAACAAAACTATTTATCAACCAATACATGACCTTATTACAACAATAACAAAACTATTTATCAACCAATACATGACCTTATTACAACAATAACAAAACTATTTATCAACAAATACATGACCTTATTACAACAATAACAAAACTATTTATCAACCAATACATGACCTTATTACAGCAATAACAAAACTATTTATCAACCAAAACATGACCTTATTACAACAATAACAAAACTATTTATCAACCAATACATGACCTTATTACAACAATAACAAAACTATTTATCAACCAATACATGACCTTATTACAACAATAACAAAACTATTTATCAACCAATACATGACCTTATTACAACAATAACAAAACTATTTATCAACCAATACATGACCTTATTACAACAATAACAAACCTATTTATCAACCAATACATGACCTTATTACAGCAATAACAAAACTATTTATCAACCAAAACATGACCTTATTACAACAATAACAAAACTATTTATCAACCAATACATGACCTTATTACAACAATAACAAAACTATTTATCAACCAATACATGACCTTATTACAACAATAACAAAACTATTTATCAACCAATACATGACCTTATTACAACAATAACAAAACTATTTATCAACCAATACATGACCTTATTACAACAATAACAAAACTATTTATCAACCAATACATGACCTTATTACAACAATAACAAACCTATTTATCAACCAATACATGACCTTATTACAGCAATAACAAAACTATTTATCAACCAAAACATGACCTTATTACAACAATAACAAAACTATTTATCAACCAATACATGACCTTATTACAACAATAACAAAACTATTTATCAACCAATACATGACCTTATTACAACAATAACAAAACTATTTATCAACCAATACATGACCTTATTACAACAATAACAGAAACTTTTTATCAACCAATACATGCCAGTTTTAAACTATATCAATCATCGGAAGTATTTATCTATTAACCAGGTCTTATCTGCTCAAAAGTTAGCCCAGTGTTGAGTGAAAAATTTAGATTGCTACCAGTGAACAAATAAGACTGCTAAATGCAGATTAGCACTTAAAATATATCAATTTGACCTGTCTTGACAGTCTATAGCTGTGAAATAATCAATATTTTATTCAGTTTGGTTTTTATTCGTGTTTGAAAATTTTAACCAACAGCTGATTATCTATAACCAACCGGGACCAGTACATGATGCTATGAAAATGATATCGGAACTCTCGGCATTATAATAACAACAACAGTGTTTTACCATCCAATACATGACGGTAATTAAAACGGTATTATCGACTATTTATCTACAAACAAATGTTGATGTCGATGGCGATCAAAAAGGGCTATCATACGAGGGCGGAGAGCCTCATATTTAAGATTTTGACTTCTGACGTACATCATTTATTTATGTATTTTTGCAAGATATTATATAAGAATGGAATGTACTCTTTCCTGTGAAATCCCAACAGGCTAAATAGCTTTCTTTAACTCGCTTGCCACCTACAACACTATCATGGACTTGACCATTTTTTGAGGTTACAACTGTGACAGAGCTTCCAGGACGGGTGTCATCCCCCACGGCTCTTGCTGCCATACTTTAAATCTGCCACCAACATTTTCACTGTAGCATATGAAGGAACATCATTCCCTAGTGTTGCTACTATATCAGTATGGATATCCTTAGGTGCTAGACCTTTCTTATGCAAATATTGAATCACTGCTTTCAGCGTTTTTGTTCATTTTCCAAAAGTGACTTGCCTTCGACATAAACTGACCAAATAATAACAGTCTTCGTGTACACAACCTTAGATAGTCAGGACATAGTAGAGCTAAAAAGGACATCCCTGCTTAACTTCTTCAATACAACCACATAATTTATCAATCAGTCCTCGTGTATTCACTGGTAAATGACGATGTAACGATACAGAATTTTGCATTTGGATGATTACGTGAAATATATGTTGGTTTCGACAATGACCATTTGATCTAAATAGCAAAAATGATTGAAATACATCTTGAGCTAAAACATTTTTCTGTAAAAGTTACATATTTAATGTTACTAGAAACGAGGGTATGACGATATGTCTAGAAAGCATC